CCATTTCCTCTGTGTATCCCAGACTTCTCCTAGGAAGCTGGACTTCTGGGACAGGACTCTGCGTCAGGCCCTACCTGCAGGAGATCCTCGCCATTCCCCCTACCCCCCATCTCAGTCGCAAGGGGTACAGATGAGCAGGTGGAACACCCACAGGTCAGGTCAGGCCACTTCCAGGACGGGAGGGACATAAGCCGACGTGCTATCCCCAGCATCCACTCCAAGACACCAGAGGCCCCACCCCACCCCTGCACCTGCAGGGCCTTAGGGAAGTCAGGGCTGGAGATCATCCTCGCCTCTCTGTCCATCCACTTCCTCCTGGAAGGAAGCATGTGGACCCCTGGACTCTGTCCTTGGTCTAGCCTGCTTCTCATCGCAGGAACCTTTCTGAGCACCTGGAGCCCTGGAAGGTAGCAGAGGATGGATGGCACCTGGGTGTGGAGGACAAAGAACAAACAGGAGGCACAAGGGCCTCTCCAGCACAGGAATTTCCTTGGCTGGGGCGCAGAGTGGAGGAGCAGCCGGTCACATGGCCGGCCAGGTGCCGCGGAGAGGCCTGTCTCAATCCTTAGAGATTTCAGATGCCCGTAAGGGCCAGCTCTGCCGCTGTGTGTGTCCCAGGTAAACTGGGGTAGCCCTAGAGAGGCCTGGGACCTGCAGGTGTGTGCAGATACCTCCAGCCAAGCTGGGTCTCCTGGCTTGCCATGGGCTCCTGCAACCCTCAACAGCCTGTGCTGGGATCCAGCCTCGGTCACCTCTGTGCCTGCAGCTCCTGGCATAAGAGCAGGATGTCCCAGGAGCTCAGTAATTGAGAAGGGAAAGAGAGTGGGTGAACAAATGAAGAGTGACCGGACTCACAGATGGGGAGGGGCCTTCCTTCCTCCTTTCCTTTGTGCCTCAGTGTCACCAACTCCAGGCCTCCCCTCTGTGGCTCCTGGCAGGGTCTACTGTCTCAGGCCCTCAGGTATGGGTGGGCGATCGAAGGCCCGGCCATCTCTGCCTGTGTGACTCTCTGGACTGTAAAAATCAAAGCACCTGAAGTCACATCCACACTATGCCCCTGCCTGCAGAGATAGTCCCTTTTCCGGTCTTCCCATTTCCAGCAGAGGCCGGGCTTACCATGCTTGAAGCTCAAAGTTTCATCTCTCCCACGTGCCCACACCCTTTCCCTCTCACCCAGTGCTATTGGCATTTTAGCAATGGGCAAGGGTGGTAGGCTGGTGAGGAGTGGACTAGCATTCCTGTGCCCTGCTCGACCTGTGCCAGAGGGCCATGCCCACTCCTGGAGCTCACCCTCCGTGCTAGGGAGCCTGCGCCAGCTGTCAGGTCATCTCACAGTGCCAGTCTCATGACGTGCTTGGAGGAAGGCAGGGCCAGGGCCATCCCAGTGAGCTGTAGGGGCAGAAAATCAGAAAGCTCTGACTTTCCATCCTAGGAGGCCCAGCCCCTTCCGTCCCTGGAACCCTGGGAAAGTGACTGTCCCCCAGCAGGGGCAGGGGTTCCTTCGAGGAGGCAGCTTGCCATGTGACTTGGCCATGCGGCAGGACAGGGTTGGCAGGGAGTCCTTGGAGACCATTCCTGAAGATCTTGGCTGAGGTGTGTGTGGGTTCCTAAGCTCCAAATAGGACTGTGGAGCAAAGTCCCAAGTGACCTGTCACCCATCCTGAGGGTGGAGTGGGGATCCTCTGACGCCAGCGTGGGGTGCTTCTGTTGCAGCTGGCAGTTATCCAGGCACAGGGTGATATACGAGAGCTTAGGTGGCCTTAAAGGTCCCAGAGCCCTAAGGTCCAGCACCCAAATCCAAGGCCACATGCTGTTCCTGCAAGAACCTCATCCTATCAGTGTCACCTGTGACTCAGGAGTCCTCGACATCAGATGGAAAAATTCACGTGCTCTGAGCTCCACCACACACCTGTGTGACCGGAGTCACTTTGTGCCCCAGCTACGCTTTCTGCCTCTCTGACCCGCACTGGGTCTCTTCCCTGCCAGCCTGGGTCACAGTGGCCGTCTTGCTGGCCTCTACCGAGGCTCCACACTCATGTCCCCAGCCCTGCCGACCGGCCTCCCTTTGTGCAGCCCGCACCTGGCGGTTGGCCTGGGGTCCTTCCTGTGTGGGCCCTCTTGCAATCGTTGCATCCCTGGCAGGGGTTCTTTCTAATCTGTGTGTCCATGGGCCTTGTCCAGGCCTGGATCCCAGGTGGCTGCCCATGAAGTGTTTGTTAAATGAAGCGGTGATGGATGAACAAACTAGTGTGAGGTTGAACATACAGCACTAACCTTGTGTTCACTACAGATCTGCCCCCCTCTGGGCCATGAATTCCTTGGCAGAGCGATTGTTTTCCTCCTGTGGCCCCAGAGAAGAGTTTATAAAGGTTGCAGAGTGTGATTCTGCTTCTCTGCTACCCTCAGAGTAGGGAAAGTGGCAAAGTCTGGAATCTTCTCTGGCTTCCGAGGGTCATACGGCCCGGGGATGGGGTGGGGCTGCTTCCCCTTGAGTTGAATGAGCCGAGGTCAAAGTCAGTGCCTTCCTCTGACCTTGGAGTTCAGTAGCCAACATATCCCCAGACACCCAGCTCCTGAAGTGTGTCGCCATCACACTTTCCTGCCCATAATATTACAGCTAAGTTAGGTAGAGATATTACAGGTGGTCAGATAGGGCTGGACCCTCAAGAGAGTCAGGCAAAAGATGAAAACACAACTGTTGCCGGAGGCCAGGCCTCAAGATAAAGATGAAATGACCAGGCCCACATGCTCCCCAAGGGATAATTGGTTAACACTGTGCCAATAAAGCCTAGATAGACATCAGTCACCCCGGTGGGTGACCAAGACCTGCAGATCCATCCTTTCCTAAAAAATATTTTTGTTCTTTCTACGTACACTTGCTAGGTAACCTGCTTCCCTATTGGCTCAACATTACCTAAGTAGCTATTCCTGTAATCCTACTGGTTGATCAGTTTTGCCCCACGTCGTACCCACCTTTGCTCTATAGGACTTCCCCTGTGAAGTGGGGTCTGAGGCAAGCCGTTTGGGCCCTCCTAGGCTCTCAGGAGCTAAAATCTCTCCCTCTCAATAAATATTTCCTATGCTTAACCTTTGTTGTTCCCTAGAATTCATTCTTCAATTTTGGAACATGAACTTGGCTTAAATGATACCTAGATTGGGAGTTACATTTCCCCTATATCATTTGCACGCCCTATAGCAATAGCATGACAATTTTTTTTTCTTTTAACCTGAGACAAGGTCTTGCTATGTAGTCCAGGCTGGCCTCAAATTTGAGACAATCCTCCTGCCTCAGCCTCCTGATTGCTAGAATTACAGACATGCACTACCACGCCCAGCTACAATGATTATTTGTCCATTTCCTGACTAAATTGAGCTCCCAGAGGCAGAGATCATCTATTCTTTCTCTACTGGACAAATATTCGAGAGGCAGCCCCCACAAATGCAGTGATTATTTGCACCCATGGGACACACAATGGATGGGCACATGGGCGGGTGAGAGATGGTCCTGCTCCAATCTGGCTCCAGGCTGCCCAGGAACTGTGGTCAGACGAAGTTCAAGGGAGACCTGGTGTGTGTGTGAGGGGATACCACACAGCCTGGCTCTGCTGGTGCCTCTCTGGAGCCTCAGTGTAAAGCCAGGGGGTACGGACTAGCTGGGCTGAAGGGTCTGAGGACTTCCACAGCTCTGCTACCGAGGGAGCCTTGGTCTGGCCAACCCTAAGGCCCGTACCGTACCTGCCGTATTAGAACAGGTGCCCTTTGCACCTGCTTCTGGTATGAAGCTGGGAACCCGTGTCTACGACGTGCTGCTACCTGTCCTCACCAAGTACCACTGTGGTTCAAGTGACGGGCGCGGCTGCAGGCAGAAGCCCGAGCTACATCTGGGTACCCAGCTCCTGCCTCAAACCCCATTTCCCAATCCAGAGCTCTCTCACCTTCCTTCCCTCACCTCCTCACCCCATGCACACCTTCTTGATCAGGACTCAGAGGCCATCTGGGTGTCACTGGCCCCACTGCACCCAGGGGTGTGTTTGGGGCTGGATGTCTTACCCACCTCTGAATACCAAGGACCTCAGCCAGGCAGCCCCAAGTGGGTCACCCAGCTCCTAGAGAAGCGCAGGCCATGTGTCACCTCCAGGATGCCTGGGTGGCTTGTATGCCATGGCATGGGCCCTCCACGTGAGCCCTAGCACACTGTCCTTGGAGGCTGACCAGGCACCAGCTCAGTCATGCTCCTTGCTCTGCTCTGCATCAGGACTGCCCTCCACCAGTGACACTTTCTAGGTTCCCTGGCTCCTGGTTCCACTGGCTGATGGGAGACACTGACAATAGGGACAAGAAGCCAGGACTCTTCACCCCTCCCTCTTGCTTCCAGTGACATTGCTGCCAGTGCCCAGGTCACTTCATCTGTGGTCCTGTTAGCAGCTCCTTTTTGTGGTCCCAGCTCTGGCCACAACTTTCCTCCCTAGGGGAAGTGGGGGCCTCCTGCTGTGCCCAACCCTTGCCTGGCCCTGCTAGCTCTCTTGGCCCCTTTCCCACTCACTCCCTATGCTAGGTCCCCTCTCGAATCACTGGGCATGGGCCGTTGGCCTGAACCTGTCCCTCTCTCCTCTTTGCTGTTGCTACCCTCATCTCCACACTATCTTTCCGGCCAGACCACAGAGGCCCTTTATACTAAGGGCATCACAAGGAACCATCAGTGTGCTGCTGCAGGTCACGCTCCTGGGCAGGGGTGACTGCAGGCGACACACTGCATGGGTCTGGGGCTTCCAGCACACAGACATATGGATGACACAGAACCAAGGGCACTGCTTGGAAGGAGAGGGGAGAAGCTATCAGCAGCTTCTGATAACACCCCTCTCCTCCTGTGTTCTTGGCGAGGTGCCCTGGGCCAGCAGAGAACTCCCACAGGGCCACTAGGGCCACTTCAGGTCATCAGAGGTCTCATTTCTGCAACTTGGCTGATAAACTGTACTTCACAGAGCTGATGTAAGCAAAAATGAGACTGAAAAATGGGCCTTTATCCAAGGATTCAACACAGCCTGGTATACAGAGGTATTCAATAAATTTCTGTCAAGAAATCTTAGCTCAGAATGCCAAGATGTGAGTCACCTTCCCTGGAGACCCTCAGGGCATCCGAACTGTGCTAGCCTCCTGGGAGCCCACAGGCGCTGGAGGACCGCGAGCCACAGAGTTCGCCATGCCAGGGCAGATGATGGGGTCGGTGGGTGGGACCACCAGAGAGGTCCCTGTAGGAACTGGGTAGACACTGGAGGAACTAGGGGTTGGACCACAATGGTTCTGCACATAACACAGGCCAGACGCAGGCTGGTACGGAGGCAGGCTGGGCACGTGCCCGGGAGTGCATGTTGGCCAGGGGGCCGGTTGCTGGTCACTGGCATGCTGCATCTTGATGACAGGGTAGCTCGGGGGCCGGTGAGGATAGCAGCTCTGTGTGGGGTAGGAGCCGAGCACAGCGTTCAGCCTGAAAAGGAACAAGAGGAAAACGATCATTCAGCTAGTGCTGACTGGGACCACCCTGTCATTCCACCTAAAAAAACTGCAGGATTGCTGACCGGCTTTCTATTATGGGGCCAGGGGAGGAGAAAGGTTACCCTGAGGGAACAGAAAACAAGTGCCCCAAGAGCAGGTCAGCAGCATCAAGGGGCCTGTCACGGAAACTGGAGGGAGGTCACAGCAGGCAGAGCACCTGTGGCTGGCCGGCACCTCACTCGTGTGCAATTTAATACCCAGACATCTGGTGTGAAATTTCTTCCTACCTGGGCCTCACAAGTGAGGACTCACTGGCTAGAAGGAACCAGCAAGGCGGAGGGAGGCTAAAGACTCCACCACAGACCACGTGGCCAGGAAGACAAATGGAGACACACGCTACTGGGTTTGTTCTCTGAATTTTTTTATTTGAAGTTCCATTGAGCTACAGCCCCAGCCCTTATTTTGAGACAAGGTCTCAGTAAATTACTGGCTGGCCTCAAACTTGTGATCTTCCTGCCTCAGCCTCCTGAGTAGCTGGTATTACAGGTGTGTGCCACCGTGCCCAGCTTGTCCTCTGAATGTTTGTGTGAAGTTCCAAATGTGTCGAGTAGATGTCAATACCACCAGTGTCTGTGGTAGACGACTGGACTGAATCTACACTTTTTTTTTTTTGGAGACAGGGTATCGCTATGTAGTTCAGGCTGGCCTTAAGCTCACTGTGTAGCTCTGGCTGGCCTTGAACCTTCAGTGATCCTCCTGCTTCAGCCTCCCAAGTGCTGGGATTATAGGTGTGTACCACCATGCCTGGCTGCACTCATTTCAATTAAACCTGGACCTTATATACCAGCGGCTAAGGTCCAGGGACAGGGCGCATCAAACACCACTTCTGAAATTAAAAAAAGTCTTGGGGCTAAGAGTGTAACTCAGTGGTAGAGCACTTATCTAGCATGTGCTGGGCCCTGGGTTCAAAGCACTGCAAAAAAAACAAAACCCCAAACATATCTCACAACAAGATCAACCAGGGAGACACAACTGTGCAAATGGCTGTCTCAAAGCCAAAATAAACGTGTGTAGCGAAGCCACCTGTGACTCACTGTCGGCTGCCTGAAACAATGGGTTCTGTTCTGTGTGTCTGCAGCAGGTGCAACAGGGGACCGGACACCAGCCACGAGGAGGCTGCCACCTCTCTCTGCCCACGTGCCTATCATGGTGAGGTGGGACCACACTTCGTACCGGGGGTCATAGCTGCACCAAAAACATTCTACACATAACCAGTCCCTTCCACATTTAGACCTCAGGAATTACTTGCCTAAATCCTGAAGCAAAATGACTAGCTTGCATCTGTTTTTCTCAGCATCCCTCCCTGCCTCTGAAACATGATCAGAAGGCCCTGGGTGGGTGAAGGCTGGGAATATGCACCTGCTGGAATGAACTCCAAGGAACAGCTTTCCAGTCAACAAAACCTGCATCACAGCAGCACTAAGGGAAAACGTGAACCCCACAGCTGGGTGAGGGCAGGATAGGGCACTAACAAAGTACTCTATGAATAACAAAGTACTTCTTATTGAGTTCCTTTTCTTGTTGTTCATTTGTCTTTCTGGTACTGGGGATTGAACCCAGGGGCCTTGCACTGAGCTACGTCTCCTGCCCTTTTTTATTTTTATTTTGAGACAAGGTCTTGCCAAGTCTCCAAGTTGTCCAGGCTGGGCTTGCATGAGACCCTCCTTCCCAGGGTGCTGGGATTATGAGTATGCACCACCACACCTAGCTGAGCTCCTTCTCTTGCAGAGACCACTGAAGGAGGGGGAATGTCTTATGCTATGAAGTCTCCACAGGGACAAAAGCCAGGGAAAGACATAAATGGCAGTGGGAACAGAGAGAAGGGGTAAGGAAGACCCACAGGTGGAACACCTGGGTCTGGACCGGGCTCTTGACTCGCCACTGAAAACACAGGTAACCACATTCTTTCTGGCTTCAACAAAAGCTCAGGTGGGCTGCCTGACACTTTGTACAGGACAGCAAACAGGGCTGGACTGCAAAACAGTAAACCTTACCCACTCTTGCTGCATGGCCAAGAGCCTCTACCCCAGGTCCTGGGCCCCATCCATCCTAAACAACCTAGCTAATCAGTGGCCTGTCTGCTTTTAATCAGGGCGTTGTGCCAGGGCCAATGTGATCATAGAGAACTGGGTCCCTTCTTCAGACACGGGGTTGGGGGGCAGTTGCCAGAGTGCTCAGAAGACCCTTGTGTAAACATATTCATTCATTCATTCACTCACAGTGCTGGGGATCAGACCAAGGCCTTCTGTGCGCTAAATAAGTGCTCTACCACTGAGCCATACCCTCAGCACCTAGTTGTGCACCGACTTTCAAACCTCTGTGCCTCCTTTTCTGTATGACCGATGGTGGCCCAGCCATACCCTCTCCCAGCTTAAGAATCTGACTGGTGAGTGTGGAACTTACTTGCGGCTCTGGGCTGCCCTGCGTTCAGCCGAGGACCCTGACACGTATTTGAACATGGGCATCCTCCTCATGAGGCTGAAGGGGAAGGTCTGGTCGAGCTTCAGGGCCACTCGCTCCGGAATGTCAAGGCTACAGCAGTATGGGAGGCCATCTGAGGTTGAGCACATTAAGTCAAATCGGAAGCAGCAAAAGGGAGGTGGCGACCCTGCCCCACGGAAGGACACAAGCTGCTACACTCTGGCCGGAGGTGCAAGCCCAGGGGAAACCTGGAGTCAAGTTTCCACCCACCACACCTCGCAGAGAACCAACCAGCCACAGAGGTGGCAGATGGTTTCCCGAGCCGTCTGTCCTCCCATCAGTCACCGGCCAGCACACACTAGCCCCTGTGCGGGAGCAGGCACGAGAGAGACTAGCCTAACACCCCGAGGGACCGGCACCTCTGGTACTTTGGCCCCTAACAGAAAGCACCCTGCTCAACGTAACTATGTGAGAGTCTCTAGCAGTGCTGTCCCCATACTATGTCACCATCCCTAGTGACAAGGGCATCCTGGTCATCTAACCTGTGACCACCCCCCACAAAGACCGAGCCATCACTTATTCATTTAGCCTTTCAACAAATATTTATTAGACATCTATCATATGCCTGGGTTAGGTAGTAAGTATAGGTTGACTATCTCTTATCCAAAATGGTTTGGACCACAAGTCTCTCAGATATTTTTTTAGATTTTGGAATATTTGCATATTCACATTATGGGGATGGGACCAAGGTTTAAACCCAAAACTCATTTTTTTCATTTTGACCTTACTACACACATAGGTGGAAGGGCATTTTATATAATATTTTCAGTATACTTGTTTTGTGACCGTGACCCATCATAGAAGGTCAAGTGTGGAATTTTCCTCTAGTGGTATTAGGTTGGTCCTCAAAAAGTTTCAGATTTGGGAGCATTTTGGAATTCAGATTTCTGGATTAGGGATATTTAATCTGTAGTAAGTATGAGACAAGGAGTAATTGGGGCAAAGTGGTAATAAGCAAAAGTTTACAGGAGACCACACCGCGGTCCCTCACGTCATGAGTGGGGAAGGCTTTCTCTGAGGAAGGGACGTGAACACTGAACCTGACAGTGAGAGAAGAAACAGTGAGGAAAAAGTGGTGGTGGGGGCTGCAGGAAGAACTGCCAAGAGAAAGGTGTTCCCTGAGGTGGGCTTTAAAAAATTTATTTATTTATTTGGTACCGGGGATCGAACTCTAGACCTTGAGCTTGCGAAGCATGTGGCAGAAGCACTGAGCTAAATCCCCGGCCCCTGAGGTGGGCTCTTGACAGGAATGCAACTTGTATTTTCAGCAAGATAATTCTTTGTTGGCCAGACCATCTCACTCTTTCAGAGGCTGTTCGGCAACCCTGGCCACTGGCCACCAACTGCAGCCTTTAGCTGTTGTGATAACTTAAAATGTCCCTGCCTATTTGTATACCAGAAGAGTATTCTGTATTTCCAAATACCAATGCCACATGATAACCAGTGCTATAAATAAGTCAAATGCTGGACCAGAAATTCCAGCATAAGGAACTGTAAATCATGACACAAATATAAATGCAGGCTTTGGAAATAGACACAATGAGATCATAATGGACTGTGATCTCGCTAAGAAAAGGAGAGAATTACAGTGAGCCCCAGGAACACACAGGCACTTTCCAAACTGTAGCATAGCACAGTATTTGCTGCTAGGCCAAAAAGACATGAGATGAAGTAGCTGGAACCTACACTCAGAATAATGAAGAAGAGCCCACTTCTCAGGGAAGGGGATCAAGAAATCTGCATGAGTTCTTCAGGTCTCCAGCTGAATGCTGAGGTACACACACACAGGCTGAGCCTCCTCATGCCAAGCAAGAATAGCTACTGGGGACACAACTATTGGGAAGCTGAGAGCTGAACAGTTCCAGGAACTCACATATGGTAGGGGTACACTCAAGTTCCTACCACAGTGGAGAGATCTCAATCCATATATCCAGGGCATTCAGAGAATCCCCTTCCCCAAAACAGTGCCCTATAAATAAGGCCAAAGAGCTGCTAAGTAAAGGCTACTCTGGACTATTTCTGAAAGTACTAAAAACTAAACTTCAAATTAATTTTCAAGTAAATTCACTATCAGAACAAAAATCAACATTCTTTACAATAACAAACAGACTCTGGAGGCTGAGGCAGGAGGATCACTATGAGTTTGAGACCAGCCTGGGCTACATAGTGAGTTCCAGGTCAGTCTTAACTACATAGTGAGACCCCATCTCAAAAAACAAACAAACAAACAAAATCCAGGTTTCAATAATACAGCATTCACAGCGTCTAACATAAAATTAAAAATTGCTAGACATGCAAAGGAGCACGAAAATGGGCCTTTAAATCAGGAGGAAAATCAACAGAAACAAATAGAACCAAAATGGCAGAGATGATAGTATTAACAGACAAAGATTTTAAAGTAGTTACTACAAATATGTATTTTAAAATATAAGTATTTAAAGGAATCATAATTAAGGAACAGATAAAGAAATCTCGATAAGAAATGAAAACTATAAAAAAGAACCAAATGGAGCTGGTGTGGTGGTGCGCAGAATTAATCCCAGCACTCAAGAGGCAGGAGGATCACTGAGTTCAAGGCCAGCCTGGGCTACATAGTAAGCTGAAGGCCAACCTGAACTATAAAGCAAGACTGTCTCAAAACAAATCAAAACCAACAACATCAAAAGAACCAAATGGAAACTTCTGAACTGAAATACAAACATTTGAAATGAAAACATGTGACAGGTGAAATAGTTTGACCAGCAGGTTAGAAACTATGGAAGATCATTGGACTTGAAGATAAGGCAACAGAAACTATTCAAATGGAGGAACAGAAGGAGAAAAGCCTAGGAAAAAAGAAGTAAATAAACTCTAGTGACCCACTGAACAGTATCTAGTAGCTTAAACCCACGTTTAATGAGGAGAGAAAGATTTTTAATAAAAGTTGAAGAAATAATGACTATATTTTTTTTCAGATTTGATGAAAATTCTACTCACAGATCCAAGTTCAGTGAACTCTAATCAAGATAAACACAAAGAAAGCTGGCTCGAGGCCTATCAGAATTAAACAGCTGAGGATGGGGCAAGGATAGAAAATGGGAGGCTGGACAAATGTGTGGTATGTGCAAATACAGAAATAGCACACTGAGCACTAACAGTCTGCACAATTTCTATGTTAATAACAATGAATTACATAGCTGAAAACTGCTATTTGGTGGCGTGCACTTGTAAACCCAGCACGTGGGATAGTGAGGTAGGAGGAATGCTGCAAATTTGAGGCTAGTCTGAATCAAACAGTTGAGTTCAAGGCCAGCATGAACTACATAGCAACACCTGTCTCAAAAAAACCAAAACAGAACAATAGCTGAAAACAAATTATAAATTTAAAAAATCATGAGGGCCAGGGATTTAGCTCAGTGGCACTGCCTGCCTCGTAAGAGCAAAGTACCAAGTTTGATCCCTGGTACCGCCCCCCACCAAAAAAAAAAAACCTACATAAAGAATTAGATTATCTTTAAAAAAAAAATTATTAATTTCTCATTAGAAACAATACAAGGCAGGTAAAAATACAATGAGGTCTTTAAAAGTAAACAGGAGCTAGGCATATAGCCCAGTGATACAGTACTTACCTTGTATGCTTGAAGCCCTGGTTCAATTCCCAGGATCACTTTTTTTTTTTTTTTTTTTTTTTTAAAGGCTCCTTTTTTTTTTTTTTTTTTTTTGGTACCAGGGATCAAACTTAGGACCTTGTGCTTGCGAGGCAGGAGTGGTGCCACTGAGTTAAATCCCCAACCCTATGTCACTTCTAACTGTAAGAAAGCAGAAAGGTAGAGCCAGGCATGGTAGCACAAGTCTTGTAATCCCAGCACTTGAAAGGAGGCAGAAGGACTGTTGCGAGTTCAAGGCCTGCCTTCGCTACACAGTGAGTTCAATGTCATCCTGAACTGCACAGGGAGATCTTTCTCACAACAAACAAACAAACAACAACAAAAACACCAAAGAAAGCAGAAAGCAGGAATAGAATAACTAAATTAATATAATACAACATAGACTTCAAGGTAAAGTATATCAGCCAGGCATGGTGGCACACGCCTGTAATCCCAGCACTTGGAGGCTGAGGCAGGAGATTGCCACAAGTTCAAGGTCAGCCTGGGCTACACAGTGAGTTCAAGGCCAGTGTGAATTACATAGCGAGAGCCTGCCTCAAAAAATAAATAGATAAAAAACAAATGAACATGAAGATTTAAAAAGAATAAAATTACATTTAAAAATGAGAGCTTTCTGGGGATTTAGCTTAGTGGTTCAACCACCTGCCTTGCAAGTGCAAAGACACAAGTTCGAACCCAGATACCAAAGGGGGGAAAAATGAGAGCTATGCTATCAGTCATTTGTATTTATATATAATCCTCTTGATAGTGTATAGAATCATAAATTGAAAGAGATTTTAGGCCTGTACTTCATCTAACCCCCCACTTTACTAATTCTGATGAAGTAATCCCACTTTGTATTTTAGTTTTTTGATTGCCAGAAAATGACAACTGCAAAACTTATCCTAATATATTAACCACCTATATGGTAAAAGCCAGATTTCTTTCATTTTTTTTTTCCTTTGAAAAAAAAGATCAAACATTTCCACCTTATGGCTATCTCACTCTTCCAATGAAAACTCTATTATAATTGGTCAAATGTAAATTCATACACACAGTCAAATTAGCCTATGTCACCAACTGGACAAGGTTGTAAGCTGGATGAGATGACTATGTTGATATTTTTCAGATGAGGATATGTGGTCCAGAGAGGGGAACGGAACCTGCTATGTGTGCAGTTTTTAAAGCTGGAACTCAAACCTGGCTTGCTGGCAACTGAGCCCAAGACTACCTACCTGACACTCTAGAACCTCCCACTGGGTGCACCCTTTAGTATAGCATTGTTATAGTTTTCTTCCAGGAAGGATACACAACAGCCCAATCAAAAGGCCACAGAGGTTGCTCAGGAAAGAGGTCTGGGGAATGAGCCAAGAGGCACCCAGCAGGAGCCAGGGCACCAGGATGGAGGGCATGACCACGCCCAACACCAAGGCCCGCCGCATGCGAGTGCGGATAGTACTGACTCCCAGCATGGCAAAAGCCACTGGGGTGAAACCTCTGGCATCTTCCACCTCCCCCAGCTTTGACAGCGATGACACAGCCTCAAGTGACAGGAAGATGATAGCGGAGGAGACGGTGAAGATCAAGGTGAAGAAGCAGTGGCGGATGGTGCCCACGGATTTCTCAAAATTGCCAGCAAAGCGCCAGATGATGACTGCACCGCAGAACAGGGAGACTGGATTCTCATAGACAAAGATGTAGGTCACCAGCCTGTAAACTGAAGAGGGAGCTGGGTTAGAGCCTGATGCTGGGTTGCTCCAGGGAGGGAAAGCCAGGTTATGAGCCAGTGAAAATTAGCAGGTAAGCAGTGGGGCAACAATGAAGGACCCAAGACAGAATAGAAGCAAGAACGTCTAATCCCTGCTCTATCCCTCCTGGGCCTGGTGCAAGTCTTATCAGTACCAATTTCCATGTATGGAAAAAACAAAAAAACAACAACAAAAAAACCACAACACTTTTGGTGTGGAGGTTTCTGAGTTTGTAAAGAGCTTTATAATCCTTTTGTAGATTTTAATACTGACCTACCTCACGGGCAGTTTGAGGGTTAATTAATTGTAACAACAGCTTCAGTGTGAATTGAGAGGGTGTCACTTAACACTCTATGTGTCTCCTTAGCTGTAATCCTGACCTCTCCTTCCATAGTGGCTGTTCAGAGGAAGAAAAAATGGAGCATGAATTATTTTACAGCTGTAATGATTATAAAACTCTCATGACTGATATAGAAATCAGAATTCTTCCTGGAAAGTGTGTATCCAATCTTATAGGGAAAGAAGTTTTTCTATGCAATTAGAAAGCAAAGAATTACTTGCATTATCCTCTAAAGTTCTTCTATATTCTTTAAGGCTGAAACACTACACTGAAGGAGACTGACAGAGTGACAGTAATAGTGGACAAAGAAGTCTAGAGACTTGGAGTGCGATCTTGACTCTATTATAACCAGGCCAGCTGAGCTCAGTCAAGGTCAGGATACAGGCCCTCTTGGCTTCCGTTTCCTTATTGTAAAGCCATGGGGTTAGGCTTGAAGGTCTCGAACATAAGTAATGTTCATATGTCTATGAACCCCACACCCAGAGAAGTGGTGAACTAAAGAAAAAAGGAGGCTCATTTTGCTTCTATCTATGGGGAAGTGCTGTGTATATCCAGGACGGTGGGGACATCGGTAAAATGAAGAGGGATTTGAGCAGGGAAGCAGGCTGCGAAAATGTATACCTCTGTCAGGCCGGCTCTGAAGGCTTCATTATCTGAAGAGTACTTCATTATTTGGTGAGTACTTCCAAAACTGAAATTCCAAGTATAACTGTGAAAAGATTCTAGACACAACTCTACATGATCTGCCATTTATATCACCCCAGGCTCTCGTCACACAATACAAACTAAGAGCTCAGTTCCTATCTCAATTCTGTGACTCAAGAGCTGTGATTCTCTGCATCAAGCAGTCTCATCTAAATATCAGGCAATTTAACATAGCCTGTCCTGGGCTCTCTGAGGATTAAATGATATAATGCATTTGACTGTGCTTTGTAAAACAGCAAGAGTGATACACATTTCCTTTACTTCTCCCCAGAAAAGAATGAGAGAGACTGAGAGACTAGGAATGGCTTTTATCAACAGGTGTTTAGACTTAACACACACACACACACACACACACACACACACACACACACTCCAGGAGCTGGGAATTAGGGTTAAGATACAAACAAAGCAGAAGACCTTCCAAACTTCAAGAGGACAGGATGTTTACGGATTGGCAACAAGGTTTGATTAAGATAAAAAGTGGAGGAAATAGTTTTTCGCTGGGGGGCGGG